AAAAAAAAAAAAAAAGAAAAAGAAACAAAAGAAACAGAAATGAAAAGAAAAACAAAATGAAATAAAAAAGGGAACATACCTTGCAGCCATACTCGTGTCAAGGGTGATATCAAAGAGAAAGAGTGACAGGAAAGATGTGACGATCTGTTTATAATGGAAACATCTCAGGTTATCAATTCTATGATAGCTCACTTAAGTGGTAAAGATCTACTTTCTCCACACGCTATCAATACAATATTAAGAAGACAAATGATGAGAATGGAGAAAGTATAGTGTTATCAACGAATATGATGTGCTAAAACTGTTGTGTTAGCAATGTTGGGTCAGACAAACGAAGTGATGATTATTTTTTCTTAGGAAGGAACAGAAAGGCACTAACAATCGAGGGAGGGTGGCAGGGGTGGGGATGGGTGGGAAGGTTTCTGTATTACATTTAAATAGTATAGAGTGGATGTGACACATTAGCAAAACTCGCTTTCATTTTAACAAATAAAGAATCAAAAGCTTTTTATTAAATTGTCCTAAAACACGACAGGTATTTCAGACCACAAGAAAAAAAAAATATATGAACGAAGTAAGGGTGATCGATAAAATTTTGTGGGTAAAGTGTTTTAATGACAGTATTTGCAAAGCTTTGGATTTTTCGTAAGTTTTTATATTATACAGTCGGCTTAACACACATCAAGCAATGTAATATGTTATTCCATGTTTTATAACGTGAAGAAAAAAAGCTTTATAGCCAATGAGGGGACTGTATTTATTACGATAATTTGAAATAACTCACCTTATTAACACTATTTATGACTCCCACTGAATAAGAAAGTTCCGTACTTAGGAGAGAGGTATGGAAAAACCCGAGTGCTGCTCCAAAAACGCCACTGAAAAATTGAAGATGGAGAAATACATGATCCTAAAGTGACTTATCATATAACAGTTCCATAGATACATGTAACAGACACGGGAAGGTAATTGATTGGCGCACATAAGGAACATAGCCCATACACCAATTTTTTTTTTCTTTTCTTTTCTTTCTTTCTTTCTTTCTTTCGTTCTTTCTTTTTTGTGAATGTAGAGAGAGCGGTTTTCAATCGAGTGTCGTAAAACCAAAACAAAATTTATCACTCTAGCAATGAAATCTAGCAATCACAAAGAACACAGACAATCCAGTGAACCAATAAAAACTCATAGCAAATGTAAATTCATGGAGCTGACGCAACGCGCGGGAAAAACGGATGCGAAAAAGTCGTGGATGGTTTCGTTTTTACTTCGGATTGGATGGAAAGGTTTGTAATCCGTGTTAATCTTCTCCATCCTCAACCATCCTTGTTCCTTTATGGTTTATTATTATCTCTTCAGTGTTCTTCTATCTTGGTAAACGATTGTTTTCAGATTTCCTTTAATTTAAAAGTAATGAAGCACGTAGCCAAAATAACTAAAAATACCGTAACTAAACTACTTTAATCGTGAGAATTTGAAAAGGGCTGAATTGGAATAAAACAAGGCTTCAAAAAGGATTGGGGAAGCAAAAAAGGACATTTTGTAGCTTTGGTTTGTACATGAGGAAACATCAATAAGGTGAGTGAAAGGAAATCACGTGACTTACCTTCCCATACATCCCAGATGAAAGTGTGTTGAGTATAAGAAAGGAAATTCAATTATTCTGTAGAGTTCACCTGGCAAGAGAGAAACACCACGAGATCCTTTAAACTGAATCATGAAAATATATATACCTGTCTAAAATTATTGTTTCATAGAATTTTTTT